GCTTTAGTTAATCAACTCTATTACTAACTCAGTTTAGTGTTATCTCCATAGAAGTACCCTTTCCCCACCAGTTAGTCAACAAGCATTTTTAAGCATCTGCTATTTGCCAGACACTGTGCCAGGCATGAGAGAAACAAAGACAAATGAAGCCATCTCTGCCCTCAAAAAGCTTACATTGTCTTGGGGGAGACAACATGTGCATAAATACAATCCTTGTAACAAATATTCATAGTCAAATCCCCATATTGTCAAGCCTTCCCCCCCCCCGCCATCATCTCATTCTTTACCCTAAATTCATCACCCATCTGTCAGGAGATGAATAATATGCTTTGGCCTCAGTGCTATGGAGTCATAGTTGGTCATTAATCAGAATTCTTCATTTTTTCAAAATTGTTTGGATTTACAGTGTTGTTATTATATGAACTGCTCTGGTTCTGCTTACTTTACCTTGAATTAATTTATACAAGTCCTCCAAGGTTTCTCTTTCATCATCTCTTAAAGAACAATTATAATTATTTATATTTAAATAACATAATTTGTCTACCCATTTCGCCATTAATGGACATGAAGGCATACAGATTTAATACATGTAGTCCTTCAGATGAGCATAAAAGGAAGGTGGGAAATGGAACTTTAAGTGAGTACTTTTGTGTGGTTTTCTATTTGGGGGCACCCCAGCTAGATATCCTTAGACACTGGCAGAAGAACAGGGAAGAAGAGACTTGGATACAAGTGAGTGTAAGGATAGCAACCTGTCTTCCCATCTCCTCCCTGAGTCTTTTCCTCCTTCTATCTTTTTTGAGGGAATCTTTCTCTTCAATCTCATGCCCACTACTTTAGTTCAGACCCTCATCACCTCTTAGTGGATTACTACAATAGCTTCCTAATTGGTCTCCCTGATTAAAGTTTCCCTTTTCTCCAATGCATCCTCCACACAATTAACAAAGCGACCATTTATCATGGCAGCTCAATAGAATCTCATAGTTCCCTATTTCTGCTAGGATTAAATACAAACTCTTTTGTCATTTAAATCCCTGCACAACCTGACTCCAACCTCCCTTTATAGATCCATTGTGTATTACTCCCATTCATACATTCTATAATCTAGCCAAACTGACCTTCTTGCTGTTGTTCATACAGAACATGTCACAGCCCTCCTCTGTACCTTTGCATGAGCTGTTCACCTTGCCTAGAATGCACTCACTCCTCATCTCTGCCTCTTTGAATCCCAGATTTCCTTTAAAACTTAGTTCAAATCCATTTCTTGTATAAGGCCCTTTCTGATACCCCACTTTTCCAAGGACTACTGTCTTCCTCCCCCAAATTGCTTTTTGTTTTAAAGAAAAATTTTGTATCATTTTAAAAATTATATTTGTACATGTCTCCCCTTGATAGAATATTATCAGGGACTATTTCACTTTTGTCTTTTTTTTTATACCAGAGACATAGTATAGGGCCAGCATACAGTAGAAGCTTGATAAATAAATGCTTATTGATTGATAGGTTGAGCAACACCCTGTCTGGATAAAGGGAAAAACAATGAAGAGACAGCAGCTGCAAATACAACATGCAGGCTAAAAAAAAACAGTGGATTTGCTTTTTACTGAAGCAGTGAAAGGAGGATTTGTTCGGAACATCTCCTTAGGTTGAGGTGAGATACAGTCAATCATAGTTAGAAACTTGGCCCTCTCACATCTCCAGCCTCCCTCCCTTTCTGGCTATATGGCCCACATTGACACAGTTTTGTGTTCAGCAGACAACTGGCCCAAGCAAGGGGACACGTTTCCTTCTCATTTCCATGTCCAAACACATAAAGGCATTGAAACTACCCTCATGCTGCTATATAATTATCTGTTGAACCAAAAATAGTGAGAATTTTACCAAAAGGCAAATTAGAGTTACAGTCTTTAAGCTAAGTTTCAAGCTCCATTAATAAGGGTCAGTTGGCTCACTTGCTCAGCCAAGGTCGAAGGTTTAAGCCCCAGTGAGGTGTTACCTTTGAACAGGTAAAACCTCTTCTCCCCCAAACAAAAACCTGCATGGCTTACTCTGGCCAGCTATTTAACTCAGGGGTGTCTTAGATGTTCAAAGGGACCAGGCATGAGAATGTGAATTATTTGGTGTTAATCCATCCCTCCTACTGAAGAAGATGAGGATAGGAACAAAAACAGAAACTGGACACCTGTTTATATATTGATATAGAGAACTCCCAGATGAGGGATTCCTCAAAGCAGGTTGGCACTTTCTCTGTAAGTGATAGTTTCAGAATGTTCACAAAGAGTTGTCTAGAATAATGAAAGGGTCAAATGACTTGACTGTATATGTCAGAAATGAGCCTTGAGCCCAGGTCTTTCTGGCTCCAAGGCCAGCTGTTATGGCTCTAAGCTACAATGCCTCTTGAGAAAGGAAGACAAACAATTCAAAGCATATACCCTACTGATGATGATCAATGATAATATCGAAATGATACATTTTATTAATAGGATCACAGTGAAGTGGAGAATTAAAGTTAAAGTAATTCCTCCTCTGTTGCCTTCTTGGGGTGTGGAGGTAATTGAGGTTCTTTTATTTTTCCAGATAGAGGACAGGTATTTATTTTCTACACACAAAAGAAATGGTAAAATACAAAAGATTATCACAAGAAAATGACTTTAATTAAAGAAGTGGCAGTGCTATTATCCTTAATTGATAATTAAAACCATCTAAATATAGTTTGCAGAATTGTTAAGTAGGTGTTTTACTTAGAAACCTCAACTCTGGACTGTTCAACCAACTCCCAGTGTATATCTTCAGACAGAAAGGGCCAGGCATGGACTAGTACTCTTATTGGCAGTCATTTTAACCAAGAGAATTGGAGTAGTTGCTGAGTCACTTACAGAGAAAGTGCCAACCTGCTTTGAGGAATCCCTCTGACCATAAAGACCAAAGACTTGCAGATTCCTCAAATCCACAAGTTTATTTCCAGGCCTGGACACCTCCATCTTGGGATACATACTCAGTCAACTCTTCATACTTCTCTTGGTGACTAAATGTTCTTGAAGGATAGGCTAGCAGAACATGTCAGCCAAGCTGGTCTTATTAATAGGAAAGGATCTCATAGGCAGTCTTTCTTGATGGATTAGAATGAAAAAATGGATTTGGGGCCTGAACTACCTTCCTATTGACATTAATTCTCTGCTTCATTTTACTTATTATCTTTGTGGTCAGAGTGTTGGACTAATATTCAGGAAGACTTGAGTTCAAATCCTGCTTCAGATTTAGAAGAAATTCAAGATATGGTCCTTGCTTTCAAGAAGCTTATACTCTAATTGAAGAGTAAAAGGTTAACTTGTATGGGAGGCAGCATGGTATTATTAAATGTGTATTGGACTTGGATTCAAAAGACCTAGGTTTGAATTCTGGTTCTGCAACTAACTACTTGACTATGGGAAAATTACTTTACCTCTTGAAGGCTCAGTTTCCTCATCTATAAAATGCAAATAATGAATGGCATTTGAATCCTCATAGCATATTTGGAAAAGATGTTTTGTAAACCATATAAGAAAAGTGAGTTGTTATAAGTTGTTAGTAAACAATGCAAAACAACTTATAATTCTTTGCCAAATCCTGTGAAAATTAATATGTTGTCATAATTGTCTGAATAATCCTCCTTTTTGCTTTATTAGTGAAGACCTGAATTCAAGGATTCAGGATTCAAGACCAAATCCTGAATAGAGAGAATTAATGAACAAGGAAAAACTACACAAACCTTCCCATATGTCTAGCCACTATCCACATTCCCTACTCCATCTCCCTCATATGCAATCTTAAGCCTTCCTAAGTTTCAAAGTCAACAAGCACTCTTTAAAATCAAATACCATCTCAAAAAGGAAGAGAGGGAGACCAATGTAATTAGTCTGACTTTATTTGAATGGGAAGAGGGTTTAGAAGAAAATAAGTACAGTGTTTCACTATGGATTTTGATGTGTGGACAAATTTCAGCTCTGACAAGGAGCTCAGTGTTTTGGGCCCCAGAAGCCATCAGGAGTGACAATTAAGATGCACAGTCTTCATCAAGCTCTACCAACAACAGCCCAGGCTTCATCTCATACCCAGGGTGATACTGATCTTAAGAATCAATTTTGCATATAAATTAAAGGGAGGAAACCTAATAATCATTTTAGCTTATGAGATTTGGTTGTAAATGCTGAAAAATTATGTCATGTGAAAAGATTATGATAGCTTGAAGTTTACCAACTTGGGCCATGTCGGGAGGGAGGAGTCCATGGTTAATGAAATGAGTCCCACCTTAAAAGAAAATGCCTTCCTCCATATACCATATGTGAATTTTGCCTGCACTGAGAAGACTCTCCAGAGATAGATGGAGTATGGCTCCTCCACAACATGGTTTAAGTTCCTTCATGTACACATATTAAAATTAGTTGAATGAGCACTGACTTTGAGGTCTGAAAATCTAAGTTTGAATCTCAGCTTTATTAAGTCACCTATGTGACTATAAGCAAGTGATTTTAGCTCCCTAGTCCTTTGTTTGCCGTCTGTAAAATCGAGGTGGGGAAAGGATAAGGGGGAGAAAAGACAATCTTTAAAAATCTCTTCCAGTTCTAAATCTATAATCTATGATCCTATGATAATCAGTGGGATAAAGCAGGCTGAATTTGGAGTCAAGAAGGCTTGAGTTGAAATTTAGCCTCAAATAATTACTATGAGACCCTATGCAAGCTACTTACTTTTTGTTTGCCTCAGTTTCCTTATCTGTAAAATGGGAGTAGCAATAGCATCTACCTCTCAGGTTTGTTCTGAGGAGAAAATGAGATATTTGTAAAGCACTTAGCAAACTTTAAAGTATCATATAAACGCTATTATTAATGGTATATTATTATTAAAAACAAATACAAAGGTTAAAACTGAAAGGGACATTGGAGATCATCTAGTCCAACTTTCTTATTTTAGAGATGAGGATCAGAGGAGTGGTTTTGCCTTGGGTCACACAGGCAGTAAGTCACAGAGTATAAATTCTAAACCAGCTGCTTTGCTCCAAAACCAGTGTTCTTTTCAGTGCCCTCCAGTCCATAGTTTGGGAGCCTACAAGAAGATGCAATACCATTATTACAGGATCATGGATTTTTAGCTAATAAAAGGCTTAAAGATTATTAAATATATTTTTTCATGACAAAATCAAATGTGATTATTTTCATGAAACCCAGAGAAGGCAAGTGGCTTGCCCAAGATCACAGAGGTAGTCATTTGAGATAAGATTCATTCAGGACAAAGGGCTTGAATTCAGAAAAGTCTTGATGGGGTAGGTCAAGCAAGAGAAGCAGACCTTCTCTTAGCCAGCCAAAAAACATTTGTTCAGCACTTTCTATGTACCAGAGACTTGTTGAGCACTGGAGACACAAAGGTAAAAGAAAGACATTTTACAGTGATATAGGTGACTTACTTATTCTAATATCTTCTTTGATGTCTCAAGGATCAGTGATGTCATGGGTGTGGATGTTGCTTCATTTTTGTTAGTGTTTCCCCCTCTCCCACAGATTGTATATTCTGCAACATGGTAAATGCTCTTGAAGAGCTGCTGCAGCTGAAAAATTCATCCCCCTCTTCACAACCTGGTGATGAGCTTTTCTGAACCTAGCTTGGCCAACAGACAACCCATCCCAAGACTGAACCCAAAAGCTTTTCAGTCAGAACTTATATTTTCACTAGCATAGCCTTTGAGAACCCAGGGTCATACTCGTGCCACAATGGCACATCAAAGAAAAGTCTTAGGTTCATAAGACCATAGATTTAGAGTTGAAAGGGACCTTAGAGTGCGTCACATCTAAACCCTTAACAAAACTAAGGATCAGAGAAGTTTAGTGACTTGCTGAGGGTCACACAGTAAGTTTCTGAGGTGATATTTGAACCCAGGCATTCCTGACTTCACATCTAATATGCTATGCAATCCATCACTTGAGTGGAGATTTTATTCAGTCCCCTAAATTATTTTTGTATGAGCCATAGAAGAAATTGAGTCAAAAGAGTGGATTTTGGTTTGAAGCCCCAGATCATTCCCTTAGTTGTCCATTTCAATTTGTGTTTAGTTACTCCTTGAGTACTAAGAAGCCCAGACAGCCAACAGCCAGGAAGATGTTTGATTACTAGATTTTCATAGCCTCATACATCATATGGCAACAAGAACTCCAGAACTCTGATCAGCTCTTATGTCTTCTCTGAACAGGGCTTCTGATGGGACTGAAAATTGATTCAAGGCACTCAAAAGGAAATTTAAAGTCTAACTTAATGAAAACAAAACTGTCAGGTTATCATTCTTGCTGTTCACTATTGTCATCAAGCATATGATATACACTGAACACACAAGACCATGGAGGTTTGGAGGTATTATTTTCAGAAATTATACATAGAGTAGATAAGTCCAGTGTTATATTTCCTTTTTCCAATAAGACATCAGAAATATGCAGCTTCCTCAAAGACACATATTCGATTTTGCTCAGGATTATGGACAAAAATGGCATTTTGAAATGCTTTAGAACAATTTTCTAAGCATCACATATCTCTCCTTATGCTTTCCTCCCACCTGAATGCCTCCAGTTCAGTTCAACAACCATCCATCAAGTACCCAATATGGGCAAGATATTGTGCCATCCCCTACTTGCTTATTCAATTTCTTACCAGTTTCAATTACTTCACAGATCCATGATTTTCTTATTGTAGGTATACTGGTGGAGATAAAAACTCTCCATCCTGTAATAGTAGTTTCACAAATTGTTGTTGCTGGAAAAAACTCACCCCAGTGTGATGGTCAACCTTTCAGCAGCAGATTCTTCAAGCTTAGATAGGCTGATCCTCCCTTCTGCAAAAGAGCCCACAAGTGGTCATCCAACATTTGGTTGAAGACTTCCTGTCATCCATTCTGTTTTGCTATAGCTCTAATTGTCAGGAAGTCTTTCCTGACCCCAAGCCTAAATCTGCTTTGTAACTTTGGCCCATTGCTCCTACTTCTGCCCTCTGAGACCTTGAGGACAAGTCTGAATCCCTCTTCTGTGAGATAGTTCTTCAATTACTTGAATCAATCAGCAAGCATTTATTAAGCATTTACCATTGATCATTACCATGCTGACTAATAGGAATACCAAGTCAATTGGACATTCCAACGAGGGAAAGAATATGTACAAAAATAGGTAGATAACAAACACAGCATACAGGAGACAATTATCATGTTGCTCAATTTTTCTCTTCTCCAGGTTAAAAATGCTCAGTTCTTTCAATTCATCCTCATACAATGTGGACAGAAGGTCCTTTATAGGCCTAACTTCATATCCTCACTCTGGACACTCTCTAGCTTATCAGTGTCCTTCCCAAATGTGGTGCCCAGAGCTGAACACAGTACTTCAGCCTTGATTGAATGACTACTGACCATAGTAGAGCAGTTCTGCCTCCACTACAACATACCTTAGACATTTACTGAGGATTTCATTGTTGTATGAATGAATCTTCATTCTCTTCACAAGATCTCTTTGCCAATAGCTATAAACAAGCCAGACAGTAATGAAACTATTGAGTTAGCCACAACAATGTGAAATAGAATGGAATAATCTTAGCTGCTTTTCATCTTCATCTTGACCTTTAAGTAGGATGCATAATAATCAGGAAGCTTACTAAAAATAAATAGCAGTAATTGATGCATTAGCAAAGGCAATAATTAAGCCACATTGACCCCCAGATTAAATGTTTTCTGACCACTAATGAGCATCTGGAGGTTCTGAGAACCTCAAGCAAGGTTGGGGCTATTCTATTCAGTTACTTGAGATAATCATTCAACACAGAAAGATCCCAACCCATTAGTTACAACAAGCATGGGAAAAATAATGTTGAACAGAAATGATCAGAATAATAACTAGCATTTATGTAGCATTTGGTGGGTTTGAAAAGTGTTGTCCCACTTTATTTGGAGGGAGGAGAAAAGAAAGAAAATTCTATCCAATTCAACAAATTTAACTGAGCACTTTCTATGTTCAAGACACAATGGAAGACAAAAATGGAATAGAAATGGCCCCTGACTTCATGGACAGTACAGTCTAATAGAGAGGGTATGACAAAAACATATAACACAAAGCAGGATGTGCTGAATGTCATATGAAAAATACAATGCTAGTTCAGAGTTCTAGGTGCTGGAAATACAACAACACAGATGAAACATTCCCTATCCTCAAAGAGCTTACATTCTATTTGTGGTATATAGAAATGAGTATATGCAAATATACACCAGATTAATACAAAGTAAGTGGGAGGGGCATAGGGAGAACACTAGTATCTCCTCAGGGGATCAGGAAATTCTTTATGTAGAAGATGGCCTTCAGCAGAGTTTTATTGGAAGCCAAGGATTCTAAGAGACAGAGATAGAGGGAGTGCATGGAGTTAGGATATAGACTTTTTTGTACAAGGACAGAGAACATAGGCTGGTTCATCTGGAAAGGAGAATTCAAGTTAGGAAGTGGTAGAAAAGAAGCTGAGAAAAAGAGGGTAGAGCCAGATCGTGAAGGGATTTAAATAATAGAGGAGTTTGTATGTTGTCCTAGAAGTAATAGAGGGTCACTGAAATACCTTGGCAGCTGTGCAGAGGAAGAATTGGAGAAGAAACAGACTTAGGAAAGAGGGCCAGTGTGTACTGTATTCCAGCAATTAAGGTGAGAGGGAATGAAATTCAGAACTAGGCTGATGTCTGTATCGGTCAAGAAAAGGAGGTAGGGGCAAGTGATGTGGAAGTAGCATCCACAATCTGGATAACTAATTAGATGCAGAGAATAAAGGAAAATAAAGAGTTGACGACTCCAAGGTTGCAAACCTTGGAGACAGAAAGGACTCCACGTAGAAATATAGTGAGTTCTCTTTGGGGTACATGGAATTAAGATTCCTATAAAACATCCAGATATTCAGCAGGCAATTGGTAATGTGGAGCTGGAAGCTCAGTAGAGTGATGAGGCCCGTTTATATAGATTTGGGCATAATTGCTGAGAGTGGGGTACTTAACCTGGGATCTGTGAATTTGTTTTTTTTTAATTGACAGTTATATTTTAATATAATCAATTACCTTTGTAATATATGTTTTATACTTTTAAAAATAATGATTTTGAGGAGTCAGTCCATGAACTTCACCAGACAGCCAAAGGGGTCAATTGCACAAAAACGGTTAAGAAACCCTGGTGATAATTTGAAAAATCAATAAATATTTTTAAGTGCCTACTTTGTACCAAGCACTGTGCTAAGTGCCGGACATGCAAAAAGAAACAAAAGACAGTCCTTGACCTTACCAAGGGGCTTACAATCTAATGAGGGAGACAACATATAAACAAATATATACAAAGCAAGTGATATACAGGATAAATAGGAAATTATTAAAAGAAAGAAGGTATTAGAATTAAGAGGGGTTGCAGAGGGCTTCCAGTTAAAAGATGGGATTTTAGTTGGGACTTAAAAGAAGCCTAGGTACATTTCTGGGCACCAAGGAAAGAGCCAATGGAGGAAAAGACTAAAGAAGATGAGAAAGTAGAGGAAATGAGGTGAGGGGAGGGGCAATGATCAAAAGCATAAGATCCTGGAGAAGACAGGAAGTGACAGAATTAAGGGCACAATTACAGGTGTTGGCCTTGGCAAGTAGAAGAACCACCTCTTCTTCAGAGATTAGAGAAAAGGAGGGAAGCATGAAAGTTAATATTGAAGGGATTTGAGTAATAGAATTGGGGAAAAGACAGATGAACTCAATTTTCTCAGTGTGAGCCAAGCTCCTTTTCAGAGAAGGAAGGTGTGGGGTGGTATAGTGGCTTGAAGAGAAACAGATACCAGGTGGAGTCCATCAGGGAGCTGAGAGTCCAGTTGAGGTTGCCGGGAACAGAAATTTGTAAGGGTTCCTACAGCAACCGTTAGCAGCAGCCCAACAGTCCATGAGCAGGAGAGGAGAAGGCAGATGGTGGGAATAATTAAGAGATGCAGTTAGAAAAAGGATGAGTGGCTGTAGGATGTTGGTTAAGGGATTCAAGGAATAAGGACAAAGTAATGTTGACTTGCCTAACTGCAGGGTCAAGATAGCAAATGGGGAAAAGTAAGGCCTAAACAAGGATAATGGGCTGAGGGACAGAGCAAATGGAGGTTGTAATAAAGATGAGTTAATAGGTGTTAGGAAGGATGAGGGAGAGGTAAAAAGGTAAAAGATTGTGGTCAGAATTTTAGTACATAGAAATTACAAAAAAAATTTAATTCCAGACAGAGGGAGTGTAGTGAACCACAACAGAAAGGAGTAAAAGCACATAGTAAGTAGTCTAGTTTGCCCTTGATAAAATATGAATGAAGGAGAAAATTGGGGGATAACTGTAGAAAGGAAAGCAAGGACTAGCTATGGGAGGACCTTCAATATCAGATTAATAAGTTTGAGCTTTATTCAGTAAGCAACAAGAACTAATTCAAAGATAATCTATAAGATAGATTAAAAGAAAAAAGATACTCGAGGCAGAGAATTTAGGAGCCTATTTCAATAATCCAAGACAGATAGAAAGAGAAAAAGTCTAACCCGGAGTGCTGGCAATGGGAATGGGAACGAGGGGATCACATGTGAGAGACATTTCTGAAATAGAGTGGAGAGGGGGAAGGTTGGTGTGAGAACAAATTTAGGTACAAAAAAGGAATGCAATGTCTTTATCATAAGCAGCATTAAAGTGCATGTAGGACTAGTCCAATTTTATCCATTGGAGGACAAATTATTGTCCACAATGTGGAAGCAAAGAATCTCACCCCTTACATTCTTTTTTCAGCCAATGCCAAAGAGTAGCTATGGAAACTAAAGTGATGTTCTTGCCACCAAAGAAAACACTGCAAATCTTTGGATAGGAGTAATTATTTCACTTCCAACCCTCCCCCCAGGACTCTCTCTCAGGGGGACATAGTGTTCATGGCAGATCTTCTGTATGTTAATGAAGTTCAAGCAGGGCTACACTGTAGGCAGCAAAAGTGCTTGCTGAGGAAAAAAAAAGCGAGGAAAATCTTTTCTCTCTCTCCTTCCCCCAACAACAACAGCAATAACTGTAATAATCATCATCATCTATAATTATAATGATAATCTTTATACCTGCTAACTGAAGTTTGTAATTACACTATTAGGAATCCATTCCTTTTGTTTTAAAATATCATCCTTTGTTAAACGTAAATATCCTAGAAAGTGTTGGCATATTAAATCAGTCATTTATAGCAAACTGGGAATGTATTGATTAGATCTTATTCTGAGAATATGGTTTTAAATACAGGAAGAATTATGCTACTACCCTGCCCACAAATCTTCACTGGCTTCCTTTTGCTTACCAAGCAAAGTCCCAGCTCCTTTGGTTAACATTCAAGGCCTTCCACAAATTGGCACCACTCTAGCTTTCTCATACTCATTTTTTCCTTCAACATAATCTACCCTCCAGTCAAATTTTGCAATTCATTATCAATGCACTCTCTGCTTTCTCACTGCCAAGCCTTTGCTCACATTGTTCTCTGTGACGTTGTTCTCTGTGTCCTCTATGTCCTTGGTCCCCTTTATGTCTTCTGCCCTTTGTAGCTGAACTCTTTGAAAAGATCATTTACAATAGTTTCTATCTACTTTCTCTTTTCTCATTTTCTTCCTATCCCCTTACCATCTGGCTTCTCATCTCATCATTACACCAAAACTGCTCTCTCCAAAATTACTAATGACCTCTTATTGTCAAATCCAAAGGCCTTTTCTCTATCCTCATTCTCCTTGATCTCTCTGTAGTTTCTGACACTATTTTTTTTATTATTACTTTTAGGCAATTAGGATCAAGACTTGCCCAGGGTCATACAACTAGTAAGTGTCAAGTGTTGGTGTGAGGCCAGATTTGAACTTAGGTCCTTCTGAATTTGGGGCTGGTGCTCTATCCACTGCACCACCCAGCTTCTCCCAGATTTTGACACTATTGATCACCCTCTTCTCCTTGATACTCTTCTCTCTAGGTTTTCAGTTCACCACTCTCTCCTGGTTTTGCCCCTTCCATTCCTTCTCTATCACCTTTGCTGGATCCTCTTCCACATTATGCCCTCTAACCATAAGGTCCCTCAGGATTCTCTCTTCAGCCCTCTTCTGTTCTCCCTCTATACTTCTTTATTTGGTGATTTCATCAGATCCCATGGATTTCATTATTATCTCTATACTGATGATTCTCAAATATATCTCCTTTTTTGCCTCAATCTCTCTGCTGACCTCCAATCTCACATATCCCATAGCTGTTCAGACTTCTCAAACTCAATATGTCCAAAACAGAACCCATTAGCTTTCCCTCATAAAGCTCTTCCCTCTCCTCTACCTTCTGTATGACCTTAGAAGGCAACATCATCTTTCTCATCCCTCAGGGTCACAATCTAGAAGTCATCCTGGATTCATCACTGTCTTTCAGTTCCTATATCCAAGCTGTTGCTAAAACTTGCTATCAGATTCCCATTGAATATCATCACAACGTTACATGACACAAAGCCTATCAACTTTAAACTCCTTTCAAAATCTCCGTAGGAATGTATATTCTCTCTCTCTGTGCATCAAACCTTGAACAAAAGTAATCAGCATCTCTCTTTAGCCTTCTTTGCTGCCCTTAAGAGGGAATGAATTAAATGGAACAATGCTGAATTAATATGCTGAAATGTTTTGTGCCTTATTAATGATGTGACGAGAGCATACTGTGTGGCTGCTTTGCAGAGAATTCTTTGGAAAGTCTAAGGGATGCTATTAACCCACCTTGGCATTCCTTGCTTTGGGCCCTTTCCCCACTGATTCATTGATTCTCTGTCCCCTTGCTCATTTTTACACATGTGATTATCCTCCATTCAGATGTTCTGGAGGTCCATTTTAAAAGCTCCCTGCCTCCAGAGGGGTGCCAGGGAGAATTCGGGGAAGAATCTGGTGCCAGATCATCTTACTAATGGAAGATAATTATTGTGATTATCTCATCCTTCCTTAAAAGCTCTAAGGGTGGCATTGTAACTGCTCTGACAAGGTGAAGGTTAAAGTAAAATATGTTGTCTCTCATTGTGGAAAAACCTGTCATAGTCCTGTGAGGGATAAAAGCCTCCAGGTAAATCCCTGCTGGAAAACTGGCTTTTTCCTTTCAGAGAGAAGCATGGGAAGCATCCTAGACCAGGAGTCAGGATATTTTAGTGCAGTTTCTACTCCTAAATAGCTACATGACCTTCGGCAAGTAACAATCTTTGCATTTTTCAGTTTTCTCATATATAAAATGGAGTTAATAAGGCCTGCCTTATGAGGTATTATGAGGATCTTTAAAAAAAAAAAGATAAAAGATCTTTAATTCAATCCCTTCATTTTACAGTTAAAGGACCTGGGGATAAAGAAATTTATGTAACTTTCCTGAGGTCACATAAGAAATATTCATTAGAGGAGGGCTTTGAGCTTCTAAAAATGGCTGTGAGTATGCTAAATCAATGGAAGGGGTTCTCATGCTATAGTGTCTTTTTCTAGAGAAAAGGATATGTAATCTTCTTACCCATAAAGAAAGAGTCTTACATGTATCTGTGTATCTGTGACTAAGTGGACTTAGCTGTTTGTGTGTATGTATTTGTAATAAAATCTCTTTTTTTCCCTTCTTCATATGTCATGTTTAGCATACAGAACCCATCATTAAGACTGAACAATGAATTGTAATCACAATTTTAAACCTGGAAGGAACCTCTAAAATCAATGTTTTCATTTTACAGATAAGAAAACTGAGGTCCAAAGAAAGTGACTTAATCCTGAAATGATTGGGCAAACCCCATTGACTTGCTCAGATGGTATCTCTCCACAAGGAGTTCACTGGGGAAATAACTTCTAGGAGAATTGTGATGAAGGGAAATGCCATGGAGAGACAACACTGATATTCGATAGCTAGTTCTGGTTAGCTGACCCATGTGGTAAAGTGAAAGCTTTTTGATTGACTTTGGAGCTATTCAAAAAAGGCATTTACCTTCTGCAAGTTGTACTTGACTGCTCTTCACTTCAATTATCTTTAGCTGCTGTTCTGGTGGTATGACTGTGTCTAGTGGAAAGACTGTTCTGAAAGAGGAAAAGTTTCAAGGCTTTCCTCCTTTCTGAGACCATATGGCCCCTAAGAAATGGAACTCTTTGGCCTCTTCATTTGTTCTTTTCAGTTTTGGGTGGAGGAGGTGGACTCTGTGTTCTGGTTCAAGAGTGTGATTCACAGGAATCTGGGAGTTGAAACCCAGTCCAAGTGTTACAGCTAGCCCAGCATCTGATTGATACCCAAGCAGAAAGAAGGAAGTGATCCTCTGAACTCTAGCTCATTAGTCCTTCTGGCAGTAATGCCCCTCATTGGTCAGGAACTTGGTGAGACCATTGCTGTAGAGGACCTGCACTAAGTTTTGAATCTAATCTTCCTTCCCAGGGACCAAGATAGTTTGGGGAGATTATGCCCCTGAGATTTTGTGCAGGGGGTGGGGGAGGATATTTGTATGTTTGCTCTTGAAATATCTTTGAAGTAAATATCTCTTTGCTAAAAGCCAGTCTGATTAAGTGGTTCCATTTAACCTGATGCTAAATGGAACTGGGGTACTAGTTGCTGCTTCTTAAAATGGATAGGGGCTTGAACTGATGGCAGTAGGGAAGAGATATTCCACAAATCCCTCAGGGTATCCTAAAACCCTGAGAGAAGATGCAGCTTGACTGGTTCTAGGAGAGAGGGCCGGAGTACACCCACATTCCAAATAATTAGAATCTCAGAGCTTTGAGAGGCCTTGGAGATCTAGTCTAGCCCAGCCCCCATTTTACATATGAGGAAACTAAGATCTGGAAACCAAGATCAAGGTAATGGCAAAGCAGGAATTAGAATGAAGGTCTCTTATCCCCACCATTACCCCATGGCTGCTTCTCTGTTTAAGGCCTCACAATCAGTGAGAGTCAGAGGTGGAGCCTGCAATGGAATACGCTGTTGATTGTTGGTTTTTGTCCTTCATTCACAAAGAGGACCAATGACATCAGGAGGGTGATGTCTTAACTTGCAAGTGAATTGATAAATGAGGCAGGGCTGTGCAAAGTCATCAGCCTCACTCTCTTCTCCGGGGGTCATCTGAGTCCAGTGGCAAGACATAAATCAGGAAGACTGGAGATGACCCCAGATGCAGTGGAAGACTTTGGCCTCTTCAAGCTAAGGTCTTTCTCATGTCTCAGTTTTTATGAGGCAACACCCATTCAGTGATTTAAGACTAGGTAAGAAATTAGCTCATCTATGTGGTGCAGTGTAGGACTGAGAGGCAGGAAGATCTGAGTTTGAATACTGCTCAGACACTTACTAGTTCTGTAACCTTAAGAAGATCATTTAAATTCTCTGTGTCTGTTTCCTCATCTGTAAAATGGGGATGATAATAATAGAACCTCACACATAGATATGTTGTGATGATCACATGCGATGACCCATATAAAGCACTTTGAAAATCTTAAAGCACCATAGAAATACTAGTAGCTATTATCATTGTTGTTGTTGAATTATTACAGTCATGTCTGACTCTTTGTGATCCCATTTGGGGCCCTCTTGGCACAGATACTAGAATGGTTTGCCATTTCCCTCTCTAGCTCATTCCACAGCTGAACAAACTGAGGCAAACAGAGTCAAGTGACTTGCCCAGGGTCACACAACTAGTAAGTATCCTTCTACTTCCAAGCCCCCAGCACTCTATCCACTCTATCTAAAGGGACAGGTAGGTGTTGCAATGGATAGAGCACTGGGCTTGGGCTTGGAATACTGTTGAAGAGTAGCAATGAAAGGATTAGCTTTTAAGGAAGGGATTTGCAAAAGATTGAGAAACAGCTAGGGGGTCTGCCAAAGGTATTTCTATATTTCTTTTCCCTGTACACATTGTCCAGGTCAGAGAGATTAGTTAATTGAGAGTGAAAATGCTTGACAAATAGGAAATAAGGGGCAAAGGAAGACAGAAAACAGAGTGAAAGAAACCCCAATGAGATTTATTTCACTTCTGCTTTCTAACCTAAGAATAACGTTAAGAACTCACATTTATATAATACTTTGTATTTTGCAAAAAGTAATGAAAGTATTATTATTTCCATTTTAGAGATGAGGAATCTGAGGGTCAGAGAGGAAAGTGAGGCAAACAGGATTGTGGCTTGGCCAGGGTCACACAGTTAGTAAGTGTCTGAGATCAGATTTGAATTCAGGTCTTCCTGACTCCAGGTCTGGTGCTTTATCCATTGTGCCACCTACCTGCCCTGATTTAATCCTACACATGATTTAATTGGTATTGGGAGCTCCCATGATGAAAATCCTTTAAGTAATACAAAAAGGCAATTGTTCTGCAATTTTCAGTCTTAGAGATTTATCTAGGCTCTTCAGAGGTTAAGTGAATTGTTAAGGGTCAAATAGCCACTATTATGTCAAAAGTAGGACTTGAACCCAGATCTCCCTTCAATGAGGGCATCTCTCTATCCACTACTATAAGCTTCTTCCCAACATAGAACATCCTTCTAAAAAAAAGCTGGCACATGGAGCAGCTAGGTGGCACAACAGATAGAGCACAGGCCCTGAAGTCAGGAGAACCTGAGTTCAAATCTGGCCTCAGACCAAACACTTGACACTTATTAGCTGTGTGACCCTGGACAAGTCACTTAACCCCAATTGCCTAAAAAAAATGGCTGGCACACACTGTTTCTCATCCCTCCCAGTTGTGGCAGTTTGAAAGTAGACTCTAGAGTCTAGTATATGCACAGAATAAAGAACTATAGAAATAAAATAATTATACTTTGAGATATTTGTTAGCCAACATTCCCACATGATACTTACGAAGGTAACGTCTCAGTTTTGTATACCGTTCATCATCTTCTGTTTGTGGACCATGTTCTTTGATACTTAATCACTCCCTGACTGCTCTTGTTTTCATCCATGTGATAGAACCACCAGGAGTCACAAAAATCAGTCAACCAACAAACATTTATTAAGTTCCTGTTATCTGCCAGGTTCCATGCTGAGCATAAAGATTAGAGAGAAAAAATAAAATAATCTCTGCTTTCAAGAAGCTTGCACTCTAATGGCAAGATAAACACAAAATAGGTATAAATAAGCTTAGAGAGGAAGACATTAGAAGCAGGGGGGACCAGAAAATCCTCCATATATAACTGAAATTATATTTATGCTCTATACCTGGTAGCAGAACCAATATTACTCATTGCTTTCTGTTACCAAGGCCTTCCCACATGCTAGGAAGGTATGATTCAAAGTGGAACAACAATGGCTCTTCTATGATCTCATGGACTGTCAGCCACACAGCAAATGGTTCCAGAAAGGGCCTCTTTTTCTAGAGGTCCATCATTGCATTGCAAGCACTTCTGGACTCAGCCCAAAGGCAGCTACCATTGCAACAAGGGACATCTTTAACAACCACTGACAGCCTTTTTCCCTGAAATTAGAAGGCAGAAGCTTGAGGAAACTTACCATCAATGAACTACATACCACCCAAATACCACGCTGTCAGTGAACCCTCCTTGATCTCAAATTCCTTCTCACAGAAGAGTTGGAGACTTCCTCTCAGGAATGAAGCAAATAGCTTTGAATTTGATGGAGATAGATTGAATTGGACAGAGATTAATTGGCTTTGATGACCTCTGAGCTCCTTTCCAATTCTGAGATTCTATGATGCCATGAATCAGGATACCTAAGCCCCCCAAAACTATTAATATTTTCCCTTCTAAGTACCTGGATACTCAACTCTCCACTTCACTCTACCCATAAAGATATAACCAAATTCTACTTCCTTGCACTTTAAAATTGCCAGGATCTTGAAAGAGCTCTTATTCTGATGAAGGTCATAAATAATGGCTAGTTGAGCTTCAAGATCCTCTGAGCCAATATTAAAGAAAACAGCGCAGCTTAGCCAATAAATATTTAAAGGTGCTGTTAAAATGATGAAGTTTAATATGCCATAGGAAATTACATCAAGACATAACTAATTTATCCCAAAGGGCTGGACAGCATATTTTAGATAAGCTAGCCTGAGGGTGGGGGGTGGTAAGTGCAAAAAGGACAAAAACATAAAATGTCCACCTGGGAATAGGAGAATAAGAGCCATACATTGCATCTCCCCATCCAAAATGAAATGAAAAAAACAAAAACAAAAACAGAGAGGAAATCCTCAAATCTTACACAGTCAGTACTTTTTTTCATGTTTTTCAAGGGAACCCACTCTCTTGCCTCCTTGTTTAGGTAGTAATAGAAACATCAAGGGTACTGTGCCACAGCCCTCCTGATAGGGACCCAGAATTGGCTAAACTAACTCTTCTGCCAGACAGCAATCGGGCCCAGGGTGCTGAAAGAGCGAGCGAGGAGAGAGAGAGAGAGAGAGAGAGAGAGAGAGAGAGAGAGAGAGAGATGAGAGGAGAGAGGTGAGAGAAATGAGAAAGAAAAAGAAGAGAGAAAAGAGGGAGAAAGATGAAGGAAGAGAGAGAAAAGGAAAGAGAGGGAGAGGGAGAGGGAGAGGAAGAAGAAGGAGAGAAACTACCTATTTCAAAGAATGAATTGGGTGGGGACAGGGAATAAGAAGTCTTGACAAGCACTAGGGAATTACTAGTGCAGAGTTTTCTCAGGTTTTGTTGTCAACAGCTTGGCATGTCCCTTCTACGTTGTAGAGAAATGAGAAAACATTGTGTACACAGAGAGATTCCGATCTTATTAAATTGCAAGAGTATTATTCATTTTTCCAAGGACTCAGGCCTTAAATCTTGAGGCTGTCCAGAGCCCCAAGCACACCCCCACCAATCGATGTCCATACACAATCTTTCTTTTGACCCCCACACAGCGCCTTCAACATAAGTAATGTTTCCTCCTGTGGCTTTGCACCCAGGACTCCAATAAACGCTTCCTGTCAGAGAGGCAGCTCATAAAGAATAGTAGTGTATGCTGGTAACCCCACTGCTGGGCCTAGAGGGAATTGTGCATCATCCACCCAGAATCCAGAACTGTGCTAAACAATGTACAAGATATTGTCTTGTGATGTTGTCTATGAGTATCCGTGTGGGGGAGTGCAGAGAGAAATGTGTTTTGACAGGATGATGCTAATTGTCTCAAAAGAAAAATATTTTTATTGTGATAGTTAATTTGAAGAACAGCTGAATATGCCATGGAATAGACAGCTGGAGATATTATTAGAGCAATATATGTATTTCTGTTACCACATTTTCCAAGGCATTAGGCGCTCTCACTGATGTGGGTAAGGTAAAGACCAGGGGTGGAGAAGGGCAATGCCCCCCCCCCCCAGAGGAAAGTTACTTTTCCCTCCTTCCTCACATTCCCACAGCCCTTTGCCTGGACCTGTCCTTTGCATCCATCTCACTTTCCCTCTTACCCCTATTATTTGTGCCCCATTAAACTGTGAGGTCATTGCAAGCCAAGTCTTTATTGTACATATCTTTGTGCTTCCGGTGCCTAGTACAAGTTGACACACAACAAAAAAGGAAGAAAGAGAGAGAGAGTGGGTGGGAGGGAGGGAGGGAGGATAGAAGGAAAGAACAAATGAAGGAATGGAAGAACTAGGGAAGGGAGGGAGGGAAGAAAGAGAGGGAGGGAAGGAGGGAAGGAAGGAGCAGGTAATGTTTATTATGTGTCAGGCAAAGGGCTAAGTCAAAGAATCACTTCCATATGTGGAGAGTTCGGAAAGCAGACTATAAACTTCTGGAGGGCAGGGACTATTTCATATTTGTCTTTGTTTTCCCTGTGCCTAGCACAGTGTTTTGTACATATAAGAGCTGATAAATGTTTGTTGAATTGATTGAAAGGACTGTTGATTGGGCATAGATCTTGCCAGGCTTTCTCTCATACACATATTATATGTATCATACCTGAAAATGAAAAATAAAAAACATATTACGGAAGTCCTTGAGTGCCAGTATAAGGAATTTGCATTTTATCATATAGCCAATGGAGAGCCAATTGACAGTTTTTAGCAAAGGAGTTACCTGGTCAGGCTTATTACTTAAGAAGATTATTTAGCAGCTGTTCAGAGAAAGAATTAAAGGGAAAAAAAAGAGTCTAGATGCAGGGAGAACAATTGGGAAGTTATTATAGTATTTTAGGTGAGAAGGAATGAGGGCCTACACTAGGCTGGTAGCTGTGAGAGTGGAAATAAAATGGATGTTACATATCTTGTGGAAGTAGAATCAACAAGACAGAGAGTATTTGGACTTGTTGGGGAGAGGAGGAAAGAGAGAGAAAAAAAGAGTAAAAAATGACTTATGAACCTCAGTGATTAGAAAGATGATATTGCTCTCAAGAGAAATAGGAAAGTTTGGAAGTGGGATGGTGGAGGTAATGAATGCTATTCTGTCTATATTAAAGTTGTGGTGCTTATGGGACATCCAAGAAGAGATGGCTAGTAATCAGTTGAGTGTGAGACTGGAGTTCTCAGAGACAATTATTCTTTCCTTTGAAAAAGAAAAGAAATAATGTTAGAGATAAGAAATTATAAAACAATAATGATAGAATATAAAATGCTTGTATGATAGAATTTGTTTAAAAGGTGAATTTCTTGTTGTAGTAGCTCAGAAACACTCTACTTCTTTCTTTAAAATTCTTAATTCTCAAACTTCTCTCCTAGAAAGACAAAAAGATAATTTTAACATGATAAAGTTGTGAGAATAGCCACTCTGTTGGTCTGTTTAACAAATCCCAACAAATCATTAACACTGAGGTTCTACATGAAACCCATTCCCCACTTTGAGGGAAGCATTTGGTTCCTCTTCATTTGAGGCAAAGGGATCAATAGTCAAGTAAAAGGGTGGATGACCACTTTACTGAGATGTTGTAGAGAGGATTGCTCAGGTTTGGGTTGGTATTGGATGGCCACTGAGGTTTCTTCCAACCCCAGGTTTGATTCCATAGTTCTAGAATACTCAATAAATAGATTCGGTATTAATTTGGGCAGATAAGATATTTGCTTGGATAGATGGGAGCAGTTGGGCACAGAGAAAGAAGTCATTCCAGAACAGAAGCTTGAAAGACACTAGTGCTAAGGTGGGTAAGTATGGCATGCAGTAATGCATGAGAAACATGTAAGTAGTTATAATGCAATCTGATCTATGTAATAGAGATACAAATCAAATATTATTAAAAGAGGAGAAAATGATAGTTACTGACTAAAGATATCATGGACATAGGAGATGACACTTGCTCTGGACCTCAAACAATGGATAGGATTTCAAGAGGCTAAAACCAAAGGATGGAGGATATATCCTAGGCATAGAACACAGCAATATAACTGACATTTCCACAACTGACATTCATAAAAAACACTACATGAACAAAGACCAAGAAGTGAGAAAGCACAGAACAGGCATAAGAATTCATGAGTAGTCTGCTTTGGCTTAAATATAATACCTATGGGAGAAAGGTATACGGAAAGGTAGGCAGGGTCCAGGTAATGAGCAAGGGGGGTTAAATGACCCACTAAGGAGTTTGAAATTTATTCAATGGGCAGTGCAGACTAACAGGATAGTCCAGTGAAGGCTGTATGGTCATTGGGTGGGGATGTTAGTAAAAGAGATCCTTGTTCAGGTCCTCATTCTAGCTGGCTCCCTTCCACCTCTGAGATTCTGCAATTCTGTGATTATATAAGCCACAAATTGGCTTTAAACAAAATAGAAGGGACAAAACCTATGAATAAAGATCAGCCTGGTAGTTATGTGAAGTCTGGTTCAGAAGGAGTCACTATTCAAGCAGGTAATGAGGATCTGACGGAGGAAATGGCAATGGGAAGATAGAGGAGGAAACAAATCCAAAAGATATTGTGACGGTATATTGATAGTACTTGTAACTGATTGGAAGGAAGGAGTGAAGGGGAGGGAAGAGTCGAAGATGACGCCAAGGTTTTGAACATGGGTGACTAGATAATTGATGGTACCACTGACAGCAATCAGGGAATCAGGAGGAGGCACCAATTTTAGGGGATGATAATAAGCTCAGATATGAACATGTTGATTTTGAGGTGCCAGCTGGATACCTAAGGTAAGCTGTCTTTTAAAATATGTTATACTTCAAATGATGCTTTTAAGGGATCACATAACAGGTAGCAGTGTCAAATAAAGAATCCAAGAGTGTCCTTCTGGGCAGATGTAGATGCGGGTCTCAGGAAAGAGCAGGATAAGAGATTGAGATTTAGAAATACCTAAGTAGAAGTG